GTGGGTGTGCAGGTGATTCCCTGATTGACTTAATGTCTCATTCCGAAGAAGGCAACAGTGCCAGGCACAGAACACAAAAGGTGATCATGCCACAGAGCCAGAGGGCCGGGTATCCACTCAAAAGGCTCATTTATTCACCTTTGCTTAGCCTTTGCATCTGTGGGAATCCTAGACCTCTGGACACACCTGGCCAGGTAAAGAGTGCAAAACAGCCCAACTGATAAAGGGATTGTCTATCTGTCACTCTCACACAAGAGGGATTCCATGTCTAGGCTGGGAGATCGCTAGAGGGAGGTTTACTGAGGGTAGAGGACTCTCCGTTCCCAGGGTTGGATGTACATAGAAGGGAAGGGGACCAGGGGCCTTCACCATACATTTGAGACACTAGGAATACAGCACACCCCAAAATATAATTCAATAAATTTGTGAAAGGTTTGGGGTTCCCTTGCCAGGTATCTCCTGAGGCTTTCGGGGGCTTCCAAATGGTGGAACTCTGTGCCCTGGGTCTCTCCCCGCATCCCCTTCCTCGCCTCCTGAGCACTCAGAGCCTGGCCAGGCCACGAGAGAAGGTCTCCTGGAAAGGGAGAGGCCTCTTCTCATCCAGAGGAAATCCCAGTCCTGGCCACGGAGTCTCTGGGTTTGGCATTCACTGAGATTTCACACTAACAACTATTGATATTCTGCATTTTGTAGCTGAAGGCTTTCATGGCCGGAATCTCTGTGTTGCTGTGAGTCTTCCGGGCTGCGTGGCCATGTTCCAGAAGCATTCCCGCCCACACCTCTCTATGGCAGGCATCCTCGGAGGGGTGAGGCCTGTGGGAAAGCAGGCAAATGGGGTTAATATAACTGTGGGAAGCCAGGCAGGAAGCAGCCAGGCTTTGGACCTGCAAGGCCATTCAATGGTAACGAAGGTGGTCAATGGAAACAGAGAAGAGTTCTTCTTTCTTCCTCCTGACGGCGAGCGCATCTTGTAGCCCCGCCTTTACATTAGTGTGAACTGCAGCAGGGAGTTCCGCAGTTCCTGGGCCAAGCTTTGAGGCCAGCAGATGGAATGCGCCCCAGCTGCTAGCTCCAAGACCAGGAATGCCTGCAACTCCAGGTAACTTCCCCTCTCCTTTGACTTTGTATCTTTCCCTAATAAAGTGCTTGAAACCTGAAACTTTCCGATGTAATTGATTTCTTCAATTGATCCATGGCAGTTTGACAATTTGGAGTCCAAATTACCTGGTTCGGGTTCTTCTTTTTGGTAAGATCCGAAAGAGGGGCCGCCAAATTACTAAAAGATGGGATAAATTTGCGATAGTATCCAGCCAATCCAAGGAATGCCCTAACCTGTTTTTTCGTTTTGGGCACTGGCCACTGGTGAATAACTGCCACTTTAGTAGGGTCAGGTCGAATATGACCTCCTCCCACTAAATGTCCTAAATACTTAGTAACATTGTATCCTATCTTACACTTAGAAGCCTTAATAGTTAACCCTGCTTCTCTCAACCTGCTTAACACCA